ATTCATTTTTGCCCGGCACAAGTTTCTCTTGCCCTTTGTGCTCTCCTTTTTTCTCCACAGGGAAAGCATCTTCGAGAGAGCCCTTATGCAGGGAATCCTTCCCTCTACGATCCCGGGCTCTCGTTTAGTAGTTTAGCCTACCCCCAAGCCCCGAAATGAAGCCTGCGCATGGTATCCCACGGTATCCTTCAAAAGTGCTAACAGTCACAAGATGTCACGATTTTGACACAAATTCGTCTTGCCATCCTCATACACTGTCATCGCTTTGGGTGTCTCACAGTTGTCCATCCTCGGTGTTGGTTCATGACGTGGTTCTTAGTTTTGCCGCATCCTGTAGACTCCGTAAACGCCAGCAGTCTCAGGGACCGTGGTCCACGTGGCAATCCCGACTGTCATCAGCTTTGCCTTGCGCAACATTACTTTTAGCCTAGTGGTTTATCTTCCTCAAAACTCTGGTTGACAACAGGAAGTTCTGTTTCAATCAGCATGAATCACTCAACCTAAGCGCTGGCGAACACGACGTGAGACAAATGCAACGTGACAACAGGAGGGGAGAAGAGTGACATTCCACACTGCTGCGTGAAATGGAGGCACCCATGGAAACCGCAAACCCAGCAAAGTCCACACCCTAGAGGGGGAAAGGGAAGCCGCTCACAGTGCGTGCCAAGATTATGTAAATGTAGGCCAAAGTAAAAGCTCTACAAGTCTTCGTGGTCATTGGGAGTTTAGTTTCTACAAGCACCCAGCAACTTCGGATTCAAACCAAGATGTCTCCCAACCAAAGGTAACCAAATCCATAATCTCATTGCACAAAAGGGACGGTGGACCACACCATGCGCATCGGGGTGGGGGTTGAAGTGAAAGCCTGACCAAGTCACAGCGAAGGGTAGAACATCATGGATGGTGGGTACAGGGGCCAGGAGGGGGGAATATGACTGCATTTTCTAAGCATTTGGAAGTGCACTGTGAGTTGGGCCGCCGAAATGAATAGTTTTAGAGGAGGGGGGGATGTAAGCGGGAGCTGGCAGGCTGCCTCCAGCGGCCGCAAGCGCAAGGTGCATCGTGTGCAATCCCATGCTGAGAGTCTGGCTGACAAGTCTATCTTCAAGTGCAGGGCGTCGACTGCGAGGACGAGGACCACATGCTGCAGTTTGGTCTTGTTTGTAAAGTAGCATTGACATGAGGCTCAACTCGGTCCTTACGTTAAAATTCTACATGCAATAGCCACAACTGAGCGTAGTAAAATGAACAAGCAGCAGCAGATGTCCAAGAACAAGCTTTTGGCAAGGCATAGATTTCTCGGTTGTATCTCTTCTTACATGTGTCCAAGAGATGTGCCCGAGTGGTATGGCAAACGCTCGTTGCATGATGTCAATTAGATTTGCAAGGCTTTAAGACACAGCGTGTGAAGTTACAGTCGTGTATTTTGACGCGCACCCATATTATAATATGCTAGCATACATTGCAATATGCCGTAGCCCGGGAGGGCTGCTCTCAATTGATTGCGCGCGGTGCAGGATCCTACGGCAACCTAGAGCTCATCCTGATGCTGTGGCTAGAGATGCATGTTGTTTGCTTATTTACTCGGAGTACAAGTGAGTCCATACCTCCCTCCTCAGTTGCTGTTGTCTGTATATCCATTTGTTTTGTGGCTATCTAGTACACTGTGCTGTACTTTCCTGCTCTTACTAGCTATGAACCTATGCTAGACATATCAAAGCCAGTCCTTGGGGTGGGTGAGCACATGCAGATTTACTTGTCATTTCATATTTGCCCATGTGCTCTGAATATTAGTTCGTCTATCGCCCCCCTCCTCTTAGTTGCTCTTGCCTGTCTTTCTTTTTGTTCGTCTGTTACATGGCTATCTACTCTTCTGTGCTTGGTATTGCTGCCTGGTCGAATTATAAATGTAGACCTGACCGTAAAACCAAACATAACAAAGGCAGTTTTGGGCGGTTTGTGAGAACATGTATTTATATATGTATGCTCACCCCCCCCCCCCCCGCGACTAGTCCCTACTACAACCAGAACCCTATACCTCAACCAGACGGTCCGTACTGCAACCGGAGGCAGATTTTAGGAAAATCAAGAAGGTCCGTATCACAACCAGCTATTAACTTCTAACCTTTAGAATACCTTATGGAATACCCCCTAAGTACCATACCTTATAGAATACTATCTAAAATACCCTATAGACTGCCTATTGATATACCTTATATACAATACCCCATACGTATGACACCCTCTGTATACCTTATATATACCCTATAGAGTACTATATAGGGTACCCTAGAGATAAAGAATCATATAGGGAAAGTCAGGAGGAGCCTAAAATCTGAGAATTCACCCATTAAGTTGCAGCTTATTAAGTAAAGGGTTTCTATGAAGGAAATCAGGAAACTAGGAGAACAGTCTCTAGAATGCCTTATAGAATACTCACTCTATATGCCGTAAAGAATTTCATTTACAATACGACAGGGAATACATTAGAGGATACCCCCGATATACCTTGTACATGCCCTATTGTGTATACAATTATATACCCTATAGCCTACATAATACCTCATGGAACATATGCTGAATACCATCTGTATATACCTTGCAGAATGCCATATAGAATACCCTATAGGATGCCTCATAGAATACTGCATAGGATACCGTCTATAATACCCCCTATATATCTTATATACCTCATACATACCTTATGTAATACCATCTGGAATGCCCTATATGGTCCTATTTTATAAGGTATTATCTAGGGCCGCCCAACTTTGGGTAGAGATCTTCCTGTATCAGATGGAGAATGGACGACATTTCCACATGAATGGGGGGCCAAGTTTCTTTAACAACATGCCTCCGGAGGTCCGAGAGATACAGGAGGGCACTCTGCAGTTGAGAGCCGGATGCCCCAAGACACGCATGAGGCCACAGAACATCATCCACACCACTCCCCGCAGCATGCATCGTAGACTGGACGACAGATACACTTGCAAGCCAGAGACAGCATCCGACTCTAGCCAGCACGCCAAAGCACCACGAGCACCACGAAACACGAAACAACCAGTGGCTTTCAGTGGACGGGTGGCAATCACGCTGCTAGAATCGAATTATGTTGCTTTGCTAGTATCTGAGATCCTGGTCGGAGAGGGTGTTGCAAGTAACGGTATAGGCTCTGATCCACAAAGCGCAGTACGCCACTTGTTCAAGAGGCGCCGGTTGATGGGGAAACAGCCAATGCCAGGGTCAGTAATCGAGTCCCCAAAAGAGCCAGGTACTTGGAAGGAGATATTTCAGTTTGCCAATCCAGATGTTCCCCCCCAAGGGCCCGGTTTACTATGATGAGGGCAGTGAGATGATTACACGGATTCAGGCATTGGTTCCCCAAATCATTGTGAGACATGCTGTGTTTTGTCGCGGCACGGTTCGGGTTCAGGCGGCTAAGGCTGGGCTTGATTTCGATAGGATTCCCTTAGGAAGACTATGGTGGTAAAGAGGGAGAGTGGAAGAACGTAGAAGATGGGGTCACAGAAGCCTGGACCAAAATCCCAAAGTACCATCGCGGTCGGAAAGGAATTCCAGCCAGTTTAGCGTGACGGTATACGGGGCCCCCAAGGATGTAGTGGCTAGGCCGGTTGTTCCCGAAGTAGCATCGGCCAGCAATTCCTTTCCAGCTGGGAGTTTGGGAGCAGAGCCAGGACCTGTGAGAGCTGTGCCGTCTGAGGAGCCAAATGCAGTGCCTAGCCTGGAGTCTTCTGTGTCACCAGCAGAGCCCGCAAGTATGGAAACGGATGAGCCGACGGATGTCGCAAATGGCCTTGAGTTAGGGTTCCTTCCTAGGTCTATCCCGCGGCATGGGCCAGGGTACTTAGCACTTAATGTCGAGGAGAGAAAAGAATTAGTACGACTACACAACAATTTGGGACATCCTGAAGTCACTCTGTTTGCAAAGTTTCTAGCAGAGCGCAAGGCAGAGCCGAAGTTCATTAGGGCAGCCGGTGATTACAGTTGCAGTGCCTGCCTCAAAAGCATTCCAAAACCTAAGAATGCCAGACATTCTGCTATACACGGGGATGGGGACTTTGGGGATGTACTAGGTCTTGAGTTTTTCCTCGGTGCTTGCCGTCGCTTAGGATCGTCTTGTTCCAGGCTTCCATCGTGGTTACCCCTGGGGGTCTGTAGATCGATCTGGGCCACCAGACGCACATCTTCTTCGCACGAGAGGTCTCCCTCGGCACAAACTTGGTCCTTCACCGACTCGAGAGCCTGTGCCAAGATCTTCTTCTCGGTGCTGGACGGCATGCTGCGGGGCTCTTGATTCGACAAGGGGCTGTCGGCTCAACGTCCGGAGCTGTTGATCCACTGAAGGCTGTGGAAAATTTGACTTGATCACCTGTTGTGTCCTGCTCTGGATCTGTGTCTGGCTGATTGCTTGTGGTGGATGCTTGTGCTCAGTGGGTGGCTCTTCCGCAACAGCAGGGTATGTCTCAACACTGGCTGTGGCATGCTGCATAAGTTCCGCGAAATTCACTATGGAAAGGCCCCTCCTATCACTTCTGATTTTTACATACCCCCCCCCGGAATCTCTATAATACGAATATGAAGAACCGCATGCAACTCCCTAAGCAACCGATTGGAAATCAACAGTGGTGTTGACCCTTTAACTACTTCGGCCCTGATCCATGCGCCCTCCGAGGTAGGAATCAGCAAGGCATGTTTTGAGTCCAGGGTGCCGCTGTTGCCAAGATGAAAAGTCACCTGCTGAGGATTTCCAAAACCCCTTTTACCCGGTCGCTGCCTACCACTGTTCGGCTGGCCCCAGTGTCTACAACGCCCTCGGCCCCAACAGTATAACTATAAAAACAACTTCCCCAATATCCTTGCTCCCGGGTTTCTGGGAAACATCTGCCCGCTGACTCCGCACCTCAGGTCTTGACCATCTGGTTTCCAGAGGTCGGCTCGCTCGTGGCCTGGCAATCATTAACAACTTACGTGCAAGAGCATCACCTACACCTGCTTGGCTTCACCTCCGGTGCGGCAAAACAGAACTGCTCTACATCCTGAATTCTTTCTCCAGCCTGCTTGTCTCCCGCTCGCGCCTGGTCGTCCGAAAGGCTGAGCTCATCCATGTCGGGGAGATCGTGGAGAAACTCGCATGGCTGGCTGCTGTTGTCGTCGGCCTCGTCGTCGCGTTCGTCGGTGGCCAGGTGCGACATCTCCACCTTGTTGTGGCTGCCTTGCTGGTTGTCAGTGTTCTTTGGACATTCTCTTTTCCAATGTCCAACTGCCCCACACAACCTGCAGGACGATGTCGAGATCCTTTCCGCCAGTGTTTTTGGCCGCTTCCCTTTGCCAAAGCCACTGCCTGACCATCCACCTTTCTTGCCGTATCCCTTACTGCGTCTTCGTCCAGCGCTTTTTCCCACTGGCCAAAATCCTCTGGCCTTCGCTTTGTCGCGAAGCCGCGCTCTGGCTTCTTGATATGCCGAGAAAACAGGCGCCAGGTTGGATTCTTGAACGGCTTCAATGATGCCGTCCTCAAACTCCGCGATGTACAGCGCGTCCTCGTCGTACTGTTCGAAGAAGTACGCGAAAACCTCTTCTTCGTCCACCTGTTCCTCGTGCGAGGCCATGTGGATGTCTTCGCCGGCGTCGACCTCCGTCATGTTGACGTCGTAGACTTTGGTCCTTTCCGTGCCGCGCTGGTACCTGAACTGGCGCCACCCTTGTTCTGCAAGTGTCCGCAGAAACGAGAGCCCAGCAAACGAATTGCCTTGATTGTCTCCGAGTACTGCAGATCGCCCTTGGACTCTACGATCACTCGCTTCTTGTCCTCTGCGGCGAGCTGGGAGTGACGAAGGAGAACATAGGCTCTGATTTCCTCCAGCCCGACTCTGCGCGACAGCAGCTCCTCGAGCTGAGCGTCGTGCCTGGCGATGTACGAGTCAATTGTCTGCTCAAAGTAGTGGAACTTGTCCTCCACCTGCAGGCGGCCCCATGATCCTCCCAGCTGCTCTGCCAAGATCTTGACCCCATCGGCGCTCTTGAGTTTTTCTGGCGAGATCCGGCTCACTTTAAGACTTTCTGGAAAGCTGCGCCCTCCACAAGTAAAGCTGCCCCGGGCCCCAGGAGTGGCAGGTGCTCTGCCGGCCACATCTCCTTGAGAAACTGAAGTCTGTTGACGTACTCGTCGTGGAATCAACTGCAATGGAAGATGGCTAGGAGGCCCTCCCCCATTGCCCGTGCTGGCTTCAGCTTCGGTTGCCATGGCTTTCGGCTCCGGATTTACCCCGTGCTCTCTAACTAGTTCCCCGCCAGTTAGATAGACTAACCCCGAATCTCCCTGTTTCCACAGTGGACTAGACCCACTATGACAGGCCGGGCTCCGCTACCAATGTGAATAAGGTAGCCCGGTCCTGCCCCTAGAACGCTTAAGCCTAGTCTTAAAGGGGTCCCTGACCCTAGGAACCTGCACCCTGTCCTGAAAGAGCCCTGCTCTGTAGCCCTTTTCGCAAGCACGACCTCGCCTCTGCCCACCCTTGTGCTGGAATCGGCCACGATGCAAGCGCCTTCCTGTGACATGTCCTGAAGTGGATTAGCAATCGACATCATCATCATCATCATCGTCATCATCCGGAATCAGCACAGTAGAACGCTTGCCATCGCTTGCCCTTACTTGACCTCCTGGACGATGTCCTTTAGGCTCAGCAGGACGCTGCGATCCCTTACCTGGAGGTAAGCCTTCGCCTGTGCGGCCTGTGCCCTTGCTTCTAGATGGAGGCCCCGTAGGCTCAGGAGGTTTTGCGACCCCTTACCACCCGATGGCAAGCCTTCGTGTGAGCCTGAGCTGGTACCCTTACCTGTGGCGTCAGTGCACCTTCAAACTTCAGTATGGAGACTTCCCCTGAGGCAGCCAGCACGCCTGAAAGCCTCAGAGAGGGGGAGCTTCTTTGCTGCCCTGGAGAACTCGTGACGCAGCTCACGTGGACGGCCTCCTTCAAGTATCTTGGTTGCCGCCTTCAACACCCTGCTCTGACCGAGGAGCTACTGCTGCAGTTTATGGAGAAAGTGAGGCATGGTCTATGCACAAGTTCGGCATCCCCGCCATCAATGCCTGACTTTTGCGGGCCTGCTCAGAATAGGTAGCCTGCACAATTCGAGTAAGTCAATGTAGTTTCCCTCTTTGTTTTGATGCTGCGTTGCGGGTGATTCAAACGGAGGGCGCATTCTTCGATTCCGAATCATCTAGGAAACCGAAGTCAGAGCCAAAGACTGGTTGTTGGCTAGGGTCATTCCGCTTATTCACGATTATTGTGCATTGTTCCCTGCCATGAGCAAACTGTGAGTGGCTTGGCGTGAAGGGTCGAAATTTTGCTCAGTTGCCTATCTTTTTCCTGAGTCCGGGCACACTTTGTGATGCTGAACCATGCTCCTGATTATTTTTTCGTTCTACCATGCACATGATCAGTAGGCAACCAGCACTCCAAGCAACAAATCGTGATC